GGCTGCCCGCGTTACCGAAAGCCGCTTCGAGCCCGCCTATGCAGTGCGGTAATCCGAGCATTGAACTATTTGGGGGAAGAAAAAGGAAAAAAGAAATAAAATTAAGCACACACAAAAGAAAAAAAAAAAAAACAGTGCAACCCCCGCACCGCATCTCCCCTTTCCCCCCCTTCTCCCGCCTCCCCCGTCCTCCCCTCCCCATCTCCTGAACCTCTGTAGGGAGCTGGCGAACAGCAGCACGCAGTCACCACGGAGGGGTTTCCAGGGCGGGATTGCAACCTTGCTTACAGCCAGCTACAACTTTATTTCCTCTGTGCCTCCCATCCCCCTTATTCTTTTTTTTTTTTTTTTTTAAGGAGGAGGGAGGGATGGTGGTATTTTTCTCCTTTGCTAAGCATAATGGAATTAAAGTTGTAAAATGCCTGGGAGTTTAACACAGACCGGGCAGGTTTTCAATTTTTTTTTTTCCCTTCCGAAGAACTGTCGATTAATGGATGAATGGATCTGATCGAGCTGAGAGAGAATATGCTAGATACATGCCTTTGAGTAAGATTTCTGCTGTCTTTATGCAGTGAAGCCTTTTGCTTTGAGTAATTCCAATCCAGTTGACGTCTGGTCAGAATTAGAGAGAGATTCGCCGAGACTTCCGATTCCGTGCTGCATGACTGCCTTTGCTGCAAGTGCTAGATTTGCAGCCTCAAACCTGATGCCACAGGAGATGTCTTGCAGTACTGAGACTTGCCGTTTTTTAGGATGCGTTCCTCCAAACCAGAGTTGTGGCATGAGGATTGGAGCTCTGAGGTGGATGATAGAAAATGCAAGCCTGCTCCAGGAGCCCAGCATTTAAGCCCGGATGATTTATTAGTCTTCCCCTACCGACACACACAATGCATATATTTTCCCTATTCATGTTGCTTTTAGACTAGTAGAAGAAAAACACAAGGAGTCAGAAAGAATGCAAGAAGCAATGGAAATTGGATTTGTTTCCAGCTAGATGAAATTCGGGTTTTAAATCACTGACGTAGGTCAATGGTAGGGTTTTCCCCCATCCCCCTTGGCTTTTAATCAGCCCGGGTGTCTTCTTCCCTAAAGGATGAAGAGCACTGACAGCCATCGCTGCTTATAATCAGTAACTCTGATGCTTGGAGTGTTCGCAATGAGATATTTCCATGAGACCTATTTAGATCCCTCCACTTCTACGAGGCTAGTTTTCCAGAACGTTGGGAATAAACTGTATGTCAGATATGGCTGAGACTGCGAAGATGATCCGCATGTTTTACATTTTTCACAAATTTTGGGTGAGTGGTTAAAACATTCCCTTCGAGCGTGAGTGCATGTGTGCATGTGTGCAGATAAGAACTGAAGACCTCGGTTTGATAGTGAGCTCTGTTACATTGTGTATAACTCATTCTGGGAATCATAAAATCAATTAAGATGGTTTGCTCATATAAAGCTACAAAATTTCTCTCACTGAATAGAGCTATTAAGTGTATTGAAGTAGGAAGTGGATGTATTTAGTTTCATTACTGAAGAATTCCACCACAAAAGTCCTCTACAGTGTGTGGGGGTGTGTGCCTGTGTGCATGTGTGCTTCGTATATGCATATATTTATATATATATATATGTATGCACATACATATATATATATAAAAACCAAAAGTGTTATAGAAAAGATGATTTGGAGAATCTGTCAGTATTCTCTCTGTTGAATTAAACTGCAGTTTTCAGCACTGAGCATTTTTCTTTGGATTCCTACTATGGCATTTCCATGCATGGTTAAAAATCAAGGTAGCACTTTGGCTCTGTAAAAACAGGGAAAGACCTTAGTGCGCTGTTCACTGAGGAGGTTCTGAAGGGAAGGGGGAGCTGGGTAATAGGGGAGGTGGGAAACCTCATAAAATGGTGTTCCTTTTCTCTTAAATTAGAACCATGAAACTGAACTGACAGCCATTTTATGTATATTTATGGGGCTGGTCGTGAAAAAGAAATCCAATGAAACATTGAAATGTGCCACATATGAATAGAAGCAGAACAGTTTCTATTGTGGCCTCACCTTTTTAAGCACTACAGGCATTTAACTCACTAGGAGTTGCCCATCAAGCTTTAATCAATGCATGTCATCCAGTTTTCAAAAGTGTTGGAATTGGAAGTGACAGGAGTTTTCTTTGTGTGATTAACAATCCAATCTCTACCCCACTAAAGATATATATAAACTTTGCGTCCCTTTTTACATTTTACAGTGTTACACTATTATGCTGCTTTCTTTTTTCTTCTTGCCCATATAGGAAATAAAATGTATGCTTGCTGCTCTACAGTAACTTTGGAACAGGACCTCAACAAAAAAATGCATATCTGGATGCTGCAGACGATCGCATTTGCTTTAACATCGCTAGTCCTTTCGTGGGCAGAAAGCATCGAGTATTATGGGGAAATCTGTGATAATGCGTGTCCTTGTGAGGAGAAGGACAGTATCTTAACAGTGAGCTGTGAAAACAGAGGGATCATCAGCCTTTTTGAGATCAGTCCACCGAGGTTCCCTGTCTACCACCTCTTGTTGTCAGGGAACCTTTTGAACAGGCTGTACCCTAACCAGTTTGTCAATTACACCGGGGCTTCGATATTGCACCTAGGGAGCAACGACATACAGGACATTGAAACAGGAGCCTTTCATGGTCTGAGAGGTTTGAGGAGGCTACACCTGAACAACAACAAGCTGGAACTTTTACGGGATGACACTTTCCTTGGGCTAGAGAGTTTGGAGTATCTACAGGTCGATTATAATTACATTAGCGTCATCGAACCCAATGCCTTCAGCAAGCTGCATTTGCTGCAGGTGCTAATTCTCAATGATAATCTCCTCTCCAGTTTGCCCAACAACCTTTTCCGTTTTGTGCCCTTAACTCACCTGGACTTAAGGGGTAACCGGCTGAAGCTGTTGCCCTATGTGGGCCTTTTGCAGCACATGGATAAAGTGGTGGAGCTGCAGCTAGAGGAAAACCCCTGGAATTGCTCTTGTGAGTTGATTGCTCTAAAGGATTGGCTGGACAGTATCTCCTACTCTGCTCTGGTGGGAGATGTGGTTTGTGAGACTCCTTTCCGCTTGCATGGTCGAGACCTGGATGAGGTCTCCAAGCAGGAGCTTTGCCCCAGGAGACTCATTTCGGATTATGAAATGAGACCACAGACGCCGCTGAGCACCACAGGGTATTTCCACACTACCCCAGCTTCGGTGAACTCTGTGGCCACTTCCTCTTCAGCTGTTTACAAATCCCCCTTGAAGCCTCCCAAGGGAACCCGCCAACCCAACAAAACGCGGGTGCGCCCCACTTCCCGCCTGCCCTCAAAAGACCTGGGATACAGCAACTACGGCCCCAGCATCGCCTACCAGACCAAATCCCCGGTGCCTTTGGAGTGCCCCACTGCCTGCACTTGCAACTTGCAGATTTCAGACCTGGGCCTCAACGTCAACTGTCAGGAGAGGAAGATTGAGAGTCTTTCTGAACTACAGCCCAAACCCTATAATCCTAAGAAGATGTATCTGACAGAGAACTACATTGCTCTGGTGCGCAGGGCAGATTTTCTGGAGGCCACCGGGCTGGATTTGCTGCATCTGGGCAATAATCGTATCTCAGTCATTCAGGATCGGGCTTTTGGGGATTTAACTAATTTGCGAAGACTGTACCTGAATGGAAACCGCATCGAGAAGCTGAGCCCAGAGCTGTTCTACGGGCTGCAGAGCCTGCAGTATCTTTTCCTGCAGTACAATGTGATCCGGGAGATAGAGGCAGGCACCTTTGAACCCGTTCCCAACCTTCAGCTCCTCTTTTTGAACAACAATCTCCTGAGATCCTTGCCTGGGAACATTTTTTCCGGTCTGTCTCTCTACAGGCTGAGCTTGCGCAGCAACCACTTCTCCTACCTGCCAGTGAGCGGGGTGCTGGACCAGCTGAAGTCCCTGCTGCAGATCGACCTGCATGAGAACCCCTGGGACTGCACGTGTGATGTTGTGGGCATGAAGCTGTGGCTGGAGCAGCTCAACACAGGCGTCCTGGTGGATCAGGTCATCTGCGAGTCACCCAAGAAGTTCGCCCAGAGCGACATGCGGGCTGTGCGTGCTGAGCTGCTGTGCCCCGACTACTCAGACATTGTGGTCTCCACTCCCACGCCATCCTCCGGCCCACGGCCACCGCGGACCACACCGTCCTCCTCCACGGTGCGCCTCAATGGCACAGCACCCGCGGCGCCTGCGGGCAGCCCTGGCGGCAGCCCCAGCTCCTCTGTGCTGCTCTCCCTGCTCATCCTCAGCCTGCTGCTCGTTTTCATCATGTCCGTCTTCGTGGCCGCGGGGCTCTTTGTGCTCGTCATGAAGCGCCGCAAGAAGGGCCAGGGTGACCCTGCCAGCACCAACAACTCCGACGTGAGCTCCTTCAACATGCACTTCAGTGTCTACAGCGGCGGGGGGCACCACCCCCCCCACCACCACCCACCCCCCCCACA